AAAACTACCAAATATTACCTTTTTTAACCAAGAAGTTAAATTTAACTAACATAACGTTAATTTTACCATAATTGAATTTCCCACTTAACAAAATAACGTTAATTCAACCAGTTGTGCTACTTGGGTTATTATAGGTAAATATTATGAGTAAATAACTGCTTTTTATTAAAAATAAAAAACAATGTTAATAATAATATTTCATTGCATTATAATTCGTATAAAACAGTTGAACACGTCTATTCTAATCTAAATTGTGATTAATAACAGAATTTGCATAATTCCCAGCAATTGTTTCTAGTGTGTCGGTTGATTGACATTTACCAAACAAAAGAGCGTCATTTATAACAAATGAACAGACAAATTGAATTCAATTTCGCCGAAGGAAAGTTGCGCAACTTTTTTACGCGCTGCATCCGTAATTTATAGACTTTCTCCCGTACGATTTTCCTTCGATCATTGATCGTAAAAATTTTCCTGCGAGAAATTCGAGATTGTATCTGCACATTTTTCGAATAGACGTTGTTTGTATAATTATATTTTTCGAGATGCCTATCGCATTTGCATGACCACAATTATAGAAATATCAAACGCTAAATAAAACGCAAAGAGAAAGCCATGGCACCGTAGTACATGCCCTTGTTACCGATTGGTCAGGTGCTATAATTTACAAAGAATTTACTCTAATAACGTCAAATTAGATCGCGTACTGTCGAAAGAAATGTTTTCCGGGGCTTTTTAATGCAAACAATTCATAAAAGCGACGTTGTCAGATGTCCTGATACTAATCACTACTACACCTGAATCCAGTTAATTGGGACTATCGTAAATTAATATACAGAGTGAGTCATTTAAATTGAAACTTTTAAATATCTCAGTTATTATGCATTTTACGAAGAAATGTTTAAAATAAAAATTAAATGATTCGAGGGGGGAAATCAATTAGTACTAAAATTGGTCCTCATACTCTCCTATAGGGGGAACAGGGGGTAACTTTAAAATTTCCAATGGAACACCCTATTGGAACAGGGGGTAACTTTAAAATTTCCAATGGAACACCATATTTTTTATTGCAGATTCGACTAAAAATAGGTATATTTTGGTTTTATTTTTTAAATTTATTTATTTATTTTTTAAATTTTAATTAAAGTAGGTGCTCAAAATAACAATATTAAATATCTTTTTTTCGGTTGAACACTCCCGTTTGTAGTAAACTGCTCGACTGTGCGGTGAAATGAAGTACGCGATCGAATTTTATCCGGAAAACGCTGAGCGTAGATATTAACAGCATCATCAAGATTCCTGCCTGCTTCTCCATAAATCAAAATCATTTCTATTTTTTCTTCCACTGTTAAAAAATCCATTATGAATAACTGCTTAACGAAAGGAGGTATTTTTGTTTGCAAATTATTCTTCGAACTTAATTGATTAAATATTGCTTAACTATGTATAAGTAGTTTCTTTATACCTCAATAATAATTATTATTTATAACTAAATACCCCAATTCGAATTAAATGAATTAATTGACAAAATAATGTTTTTTTTACCTTAAAACAGGTATTTTTATTAAAAATAGTACAATAACCCTTTAAATTAATGGATTTAATTTTTAAAATGTGAGCGATTCTCCATTAATGTATCTACAATATTCTTTAATATTTGTTTAAATCCGAAATCAAATAAAAAAGTTATTTGCGATTGAAATTCATCAAAAATTTGTGTGGATCGATTATTTTGCCTGTGAGTGTATTACAAATATGAGAAAATGTTTTAGACAAAATTTACCTATTTTTAGTCAAATGATCCGAATCTGGATTAAAAAATAGGATGTTCTATTTAAATGACTAACCATGTATATATAAATTAGATAAACCGTATTGCCTTACTTTACCCTATTTATACTGTGAAATTACTGATGGTGCCTAGGTGCTCCTCCCTCACTACCTGCAGACTCTTTTTTTGACAGTGTTGCCAGATTTAAAACTCCTATATGAATCAAAGTGTACTAGATTGATAAAAAAACATTACCTACTTAAGCCTTATCATCAATGATGTACAGTGAACATTCTTTATATTAGGGGCTTAGGTTGAAATAATATAGTGAACTTCTAGAGTCGTTTATTATAAACTCGCTCTACAAGCTACGCTCGTGCATAATAAAACTTGTAAAGTTTATAAAACTTGTTACATATCATACTATTTTTCTTCTTGTCAAGAAGGACTGGATTTGTACAACTGCACTAGCTCTGGCAACGCTGCAGGGGCATAGCTCAGGTATGAGCCGCAGTCACCGTGAGCGCACACAGTGCATAACATAGCATGTGCAGCACTTCAGGTCCGGACGGTCTATTAACGTCCTTATTAAGTCTGTCAGTGTAACCGAAACGCTCAAAATATGTCACATATCTGCAGGCCGGTCTCTCAAGACCGTCGCAATTAACCACCTCGTTTTCGAGATTGCCTCGATTATGCAACCGTTTTTTATCTCGTGGAGAGATGTGGCAACGTTGCATAGATTTGGATTAAGAATTGTTTGAATGTGAAGCATTTTTTTGTATGTGAAAATAAAAAATCGTTCTTGTTTCGTCTGAAGGAATCAATTAAGAAAGAAACAGTTCCTCTTCTACTACATCTAGAGTGTCGGTGTGCTGTGGAGAGTCCCTCTCACTGGCAAACGGCCATTTTAAATTGCTGTATGGTCTCTTTTTCAAAGAGTACAGTTATATGAGAAGCACACACAACAACGCGCTGGGTCTACTACTATATCTACTAGCAGAGAAGAACGCCTTGACTAGTCAGTCGCTTTTAAAGCATGTTCTAATAAAGTTAATAACATGGCTACATCTTGGTTCTCGTGGTAAAAATCATCATGAAATATGATTTTTTTGTTTTTTCTATGTTCTGCGTGATAATCTTGAAAAAAACTGAACCTTTATATACATAATTACAAAGGAAACAATGGTGAGATGAACGGCATTTGTTAAAGAAACAGTATTAAAACTTTACTCAATTTCTTTATCATTTACACCACACCACCGATCTTTTAGAGTTTTAAATTCATTATTTTAACCAAATAACCACCACAGCTCTGCTTAAATGAATGAATTGCGAAAAAACAGCCACTAATAATTCTCGTCAATAGCAATTTGTATCCCGAACATTTAGCAGTCAATTTCCCCTGAACCCGAAAATGTCTTCAAAAGTTAGAAAAGTAAAACAGTTTTTGAGATTTAGTCAATTTTCCAAATAATATGGAATTGACTATATCTCAAAAACTGCTCTACTTTTATAATTTTTGACGGTATTTTCGGATTCAGGGGACAATTTTACATGGGAATTGGCTGTTAAATGTTGGGGATATCATGGTACCCCATGGTTAACCATGGTATAAGTAAAAAAGCAGCCACTAATAACTGTAGTAACCAGTAATTTTTGATTTAAATGTTAACAAATGTAACTCGCGTAAGAATTTCCAACTTGGGATATAGAAGCAGTTTTTCACAGTGAAAGTGAAGAGAATGTTTTATGGGCACTTATGGAGTCTAACTTTAGCCCCGATTGGTTCTAATATAAATAAATTATATGTCATAAATAATAAATTTCATTAATTTTGACAAACATGTGTAAAGTGCTGTATTTTCTGTGACTACATAAAATCGGTCGATTAAAATTTATTTAAAATTTAATCAATATAAATATTTCGCAAGACAGCTAATAACTATAAATTTCTAGAACCAGTATCGGCAATATTTTGACTAATAATAAAAGCTTTTCAGCGTTGATTAACTTGATACCCATTATGCTAAAATTGCAGTTAGCAAATACCTATGTATTTAAATTTTTTTCGATAAGATAAAATCGTTAAATTTATTGTTTTTACTTGAAATTGAGCGGCTACCTATAGGTAATTAACCTTTTAAAAATAACATTCATTTAAGTTGACAAAAAACGGTGCAAAAAGAGATAAACTATTCTATAGGCACCATTACCACTGATTAGTTCCGGCAGATCTCTTATTATAAAATTGGAATTTGTATATTAATTCCAAATTTTAAATTTCAGTAAGCAAGTAATCCCAATAAAAATGCTAATAAGTTAACAAAATTAACATAATGTTTCTCAGATATTTATCTGTTATACCTCTAATTTATTGTACGTATTGAGTAAAAAGTAAACAACCGTACACGTGAAATTTCGTAATCCAAAACCGTTAACCGTTCGATGAAAAATGGACTTGTTTTTAACCGAGTTAATGCCCAAATTGATTCGAATATTTCAGATATTTTTTAATGAAATTTCGATAATTTATTCATCCTGAAAATAATGGCCGCTATTAACCACAGACCACCAAAACAAATGGACGGCGCATTGCCATTCAATAACAATGCTTTGTTTGCGGTCAACAAACGGTCACAGTCTAAGCGTCAAATTGGAGATAGAATTTTATGTTTTCTTTCAGTGACGTCAACAAACGGTCACAGTCTAAGCGTTAAATTGGCGATAGAATTTTATGTTTTCTTCCAGTGACGTATTGGGATTAAAAAAATAATAAGTAGGTAGGTACTTACAGACGATATTTCCATGTATTGTTATTTTTAGTAAAAAATAATGTATTTAAACTCCATAATTAACTTAGACACGATAGAAATACACAAACGAAAACACAAAACAACAAGCTGTCAACCTTTTTCTATGCTGTCAAATATGACGAATTTACCAACGTTGTTAATATTTAATTTTAATAATTATTAAATGATTTACTTTCTTTAAATAGAGAAAAATATCTAAAGAAAATGATGAACAAATCTTTTTTACATTTTTTTTATTATTCAAACGAATTACTGGTAATTATTAATGTTCATTATGTTATGATGAACGTCCAAAAAGGCGTTCAATCTTTCGACGGTGTTTAGAATGTGAAACTATGCTTTACTCGCTTTTTAAACGTAAACAAATCCGTCCATTTGTTTTGGTGATCTGTGCTATTAACAAACAATCTTACCTTTAAGATGCATCGCCCGACCACTTCGTTCTCGGCCACCGAAACGTTGTAGAAACTCTGATCGAAAATCGGTTCGTTATCGTTCACATCGTGTATCGTCACTAGCACTGTCGCGGACGAGGAGAGCGGCGGAAATCCGCTATCGGCCGCCACCACCGTCAACCGAGGCACCGGGTCCGTTTCGCAGTCGACGTGGGCGCGCGTGGTGATCAAGCCGCTCCTGGAGTCGATCTGGAACCAGCCGGAGTGCGTGGCAGGAGTGCTTTGCAGCGAGTAGAAGATCACGCTGTTGTTGCCCTCGTCTTTGTCCCTCGCTATCACTTGAAGAACCGACGTTCCCGGATCCGACACTTCCATCACGTTGGCGTGGTACACCGCCTGCTGGAATTCCGGAGGGTTATCGTTGATATCTGTCACTTGGAGTTTGATTGTTTTGGACGCGTTCAAAGGCGGCGTTCCCGTGTCGGTTGCCACCACATTCAACGTGTAGTTTGGTTGCAACTCTCTATCCAAAGGCAGCGAGACTATCACTAAATAGATAATGTTATCCCTCGTTGTAAGACCAAAGTGTCCATCTCCGCCACTCAACGTCACGTTGATGTTGGAGTACTCCGCCTTGGAATCCGGATCGTGCACTGAAATCCTCGCGACGAATTCACCCGGTTGAGCCGATTCACTTATTTTAGGCGTGGCGTCGTCACTCAAAAATATCACGTTGATGGTCGGCTGGTTGTCGTTAACGTCGGTCACTCTGATGGACACGAAAGCCGTCGTTTCCAAAGGTTGCAGTCCATGATCTTTCGCCACTATAACCAGCTCGTGCAACTCTTTGGTTTCGAAGTCCAGAGGTTTGTTCACTGATATCATTCCCGTCGTCGAGTCTATGCGGAACATGTTGTCTTTATCGCTCTGCCTTCGGTTTATCGAGTACTCCACTTGGCCGTTCTCGCCGGCGTCATTATCAGTCGCGAACACTTGCAGAACTATTGTTCCTATGGTGGCGTTCTCTGGAACGGTAGCAAAGTATCGGCTTTGGTTGAAGATGGGTTGGTTGTCATTCACATCCTGTATTGTTATGTTTACTGTCATTTCGCCACGTAGAGGTGGCGTTCCTCCGTCTAGAGCTTCTATTACCAAGCTGTAGAAGTCCGTTGTCTCTCTATCGAGAAACCCGTTGATTTGCAGGTCCAAATATAACACCCCGTCCCGTTCGCGATGCGAAGACAGCCTGAAGGCGTTGTTCACGTTGCCGGAAACTATGTTGTACCTTTGGGTGTTGTACAAATCCAAATCCAGATCTTTGGCCGGATGCAAAGTCCTCTTCACATCTCTAGGTGTGTTTTCCGGAAACTCGATCAGCATAAAATCCGTCGGGAACGTGGGAGCGTTATCGTTCTCGTCCAGTACCTTCACCAGCACCCTGACGTTGTCCCCGCTCATCGGTATGGCCACCAAGGAGTAGCTGGCGTGCGACTCGCGATCCAGCGGCACCTTGGTCCGGATCTCGCCGGTGCTCTGGTCGATGGACAGGTCGCTGTCCACGGAACTGCCCACGGGAACGATCAGGTAGGGCGGTCCGCTGTCCGGGGAGACACCGTCCCCGATGTATCCGATCCTGGTGTTGGCCGTCGCGCTCTCGGACACCTCCAGGTCTCTGACGTGCTCCGCGCCCGCCGACACCGCCAACAGCAGCGCGTTGGCCAGCCACAAGGCCGCCATGATGTGGCCCATCGTCATCATCGCTCGCACATCCTGGCAGCAGAACAAAATCGTTAGAACATCGTCACAATCGATTCGCCTCGACAAACATGGTTGCCATGGTAACGCCTTTGGTTGCCATGGTAACTGTTTGCTAGAACCAAGTTGGCTTCAAGATTATGAAAGGTATAATTTGTGCAATCCAATATATATGGCCATTATTTAGAAAACTCTTTGGTTTACTTTTCAGCAGGCTTGAACGCAATAGCTATTTGTGTATTAAGAGCGCAAAGTAGTACATTGCCGCTCTGAGCGAGAAGTTTAAGTGCGGCTATCTCGCGAGAGCGGCAATGTCACTTTGCGCTCGAATTACACACAAGATTTTTTCTACAACCGGTGTTTCTATAAGAATGTTTGGTAAAAATTAATAATTATTGATCGCTAACAAAAAAAAACTCATACAGCTTAAAAATCTAGTGTTCCTGATTTTCTATCATTTCGTTGGAGTAATTATGGCTTTTAACATGATACGTCACATTTGAAAGGTCTAAAATTAAATACAAAGTTAGGTTGAAGTTTGAAAAAAAAATTAATATTTCGTCATCCCTCTGTTCTTGTCAATTACTGCCCGCAAACGGCAAAGCATGGAAGTCGCCGTCTTGCTTTATCTTGTTCCAAATGGCTTCAATGGCTTGCCAGGTTGAAAATGTTGTTAAAAAAGTCATAATGGATGTGACAAAGCTCGATGTCAGCTTGAAATTGACGGAAAAGTTTTATTCACACAGCCACAATAGTTTTTTTTGTTAGCGATAGTACCTCAAATTTGACGTTTGTGTCAAAAGTCGCAAATACACTAAACGTTTCTTTATTATGGTTTCCATGGTGGAAGCGCAAATTTGTACTTTTCGCTTGGTTGTAGAAAAATTATTTTTTTTCCCAATACATTAATAGGCATGACCAGAGCTGGGAAAGTTACTTCCGAAAAGTATCTAGTCACTTTTATAAGATTTATATATGTATTTATAAGCTACCTCGGGTATCTATAAATACTTTGAGTTGAAAGTATCTTTAGTTACAAGATACTTTAGAAAGTATCTAAGATACTTTAGAAAGTATATAAGATACTATATGAAAGTATCTAAGATACTTTTGAGTAACTCAGATACTTCTAAGTAACTAAAATACTTTTGAGTAACTAAGTTACTTTTAAGTATGAATAAAAATTATAAAATTATAAAATTCAACAAGTTGTAGGTTAGATAATTACTTAAATCATACTGGAATTCCCCCAATTTTCTCTAAGAAAGTATCTAAGTTACATTGAAAAGTATCCAAGTTATTTTAAAAAGTATCTTAGTTACTTTAAAGTATCTAAGTTACTTAAATGTATCTTAGTTACTTTACCAAGTAACTTAGATACTTTTTTAGATCCAAGTTACAAGATACTTTTCCAAAGTAACTAAGATAAAGATACTATACTATTTCTGACGTGTTTAAACTTTATTGTATATTGTATAACGAATAAATCTTGAATCTTGAATCTTGAATCTTGAATCTACTTAAAAAGTATCTAAGATAAAGTATCTTAGATCCTTTAATTATCTAAGTTACTTTTAAGTATCTTTTTTTCAAGATACTCCCAGATCTGGGCATGACTAATAAATATGATTATCGAAAATATAAATCTCCTAGGGTTTTTCAACAAAAAAACATGTTTGCAAATAGAGAGTTTTAAAAAGAAAAGGTATACACACTGAAATTAAACGTCAATTTATTAACCATCTTGTAACATTAAAAATATTTTTGTAACACAAACAAAAATTAGTATGCAAACGAAAAAAACTTAAATTATTTCAGTGTCGTTTACGTTTTGACAAACGTCTTGATAATATTCACTTTTTTTTAACTTTAAGCAGCTTGATCTTAAATAATTTTGTAGAAGGCTAATTATGATAGTTTTATTCAATCTTCGCCATAATGTTTAACCAGCACTTCAACTGACTAAATGGATGTAAACAAAGAGTTTTGCAAATAACCGATTTTATATGGCAAGGAAGCAATTCTAAAACGATTTAAAGGTGGCAATACATTCCTTATCAAAAATCTGATAAAGTAAATTTTGATGATTAGAGACTTTTGCAAATAATGGCCTCATATCATGTCTAAAGAAAAATCAATAAAAAAGTTTGTTAATTATGGAAGCAAATTTGATGAAGTTTATTAACATTTAGGTTGCCTTCTAAAAAAACATTTAAAGAATCATCAAAAAATTTACATAAAAACGCCACGTACCGTTCAATGATGTATTTTTTGCAATATCTTTGAGATGATGACCACCAAAAAACCTTGCTCTATAATGATTTTGTTAACATGGTATGAAACTGATGATTTTTCTAGGAACGATAGACAATGGAGAACGGTAAACAAATGACAGCTATTTAAATTTGTTTGAACAATACCAATCAGTGGAGCTCTTATTCAGTATCATTTTAATTTGTAAGCGAGAATAAATTTTGTAAAAATCTCATCATCTGCAAGTCTTTGTTGAGAGTTAAGAAATGCTTGAAGATGTGAACAAAAAGCGATTATTTCATTGGATTTTTGGATTATTGTAAATAGTAAACAAATTTTATTTTTTTTGGCAAACCTCAGAGTTGGCTTGAATTAATTCAAACCAAATGGTTTCGCTTGTTTTGGAAATTTGCAAAATTAGTAAATAGAAAATCTCCGTAACATTCGTAGTTAAAATATTTCCCGGTGGGTGTTATAAAATAAAATAAAAAATGTATAGGAAAATAATTTAAAAAAAGTTTGATTAACGGATTCCAGACTACTTGCTATTTTTTATGACCAATAGTGTAAATTAATAATCAACGAAAACCATAAGGTTGATTTGTATTTCTTAAAATCGATAAATAACCATCCACAAACAAAAAAGTTAATTAAAAGCACTACGCAAAACTATAAAGTAATTTAACAGCAACACAGTTTAAATACTTTTGAATTTTTACTAAAACAATAAATTAATTGAGATATAAATCATCTATCCACATAAATCAAACGTCAAAAAAATAGTTTTCTCGAGTTAATCTTAAGGTAAGGTTGTGAAGCTTATTTTTTTAAATTTACGACTTTCGGGCAAAATGTGCGTGGCCAACCAAATATTTGTGTGCCAAAAAGTGAATAAAAATTACAGTAATCATTTGTAATTAATCTAAGGTTAATACTTTTATCCGCAGTATTTTTTTGGTTTCAGAAACTCGTGATTTTTAGATGGTCATTGCACTGTTATAAAAATCAGATTTGAAGATGACATCACTGGTTTTCAAACTGAAATTAGGGGATAAAGTAAAGTGGGTTAAAGTTACGAAATACATCAGTAAGGGTTGTAATGGTACTGATAATTATATTGTACCAAATTTCTTTATAATTTGATGATTTCAGAATTGAGTGTATGTTATTTTTGTGTTCATTTATGTAGGTATATGTTAATGTTTTTGTTTAAGAAATTAATTAATAAAGCAAAATTTTTTATAAAAATTCTTTTCAAGTTCTCAATTGCAAACAAATATTTTTGATGCTGGGTCTACAAAAAGGTTTGTGAAAATTAGATCCTTTTTAAAAATGTTTGTTATAATTACAAACTACTTATTCAATTAGTTTACAGATAACAGTTGGTTACATCCAAGTTTACTTAGCATTAAGTTATGTGGACCTGCTCTTTTAAAATGAATTTGCCAAAAATAACTATTATTATTAAGTCATATTTGACTAATTGTCATAGCGAAAAAGCATATAGTCAAACTTTAACTATTTACGTAGTAAAAAATGCTGGTACTAATTCAAATAGTAGAATTTTGACTATTTCATTTTAAGAGACATAAAATCTGGTTAATATTTGGTTAAAATTGTGTAACCTTAAGATTCAAAAATGTGGATAGAAACAGAAGAGTGAATAAAAAAATTATATAAAACTGGTTTATTATTTTTTGCTACTGGGTATTTTGCGTTTTTTCCTGGAATTTCAATATTTGCCTGTCGTAATTGCTGCAGCAATCCACGGATGTCCAAAACGGCGAGTCAAAAAAGTTTTTGAATGCAGCTTTCAATTTTTATCCAAACAGGTTGTGAATACGATTTTGCTTTTAAGTAAAACGCTCGGGCATAATTATCGGCCATCTAGAAAACTCCCTTATATTTAAAACAATCGCCTATAGACATTTAAATGTTCGCTTGTTTCATGGCTTGCTCCGCTTTTTTTCGACCGCTTTCAGCATAATTGTTTGAGCAAATGGTTTAATTACTTAATATTATCCCTAAAAGGCAACTTAATGTTCCTGCTATCGTAAAGAAAACACACTGCAAACCGGTACTAATTCTATATGTTAGTTTTTCTAATCAATTCCTAGAACAAGAAAGAAAATGCTACACACTCAACTAGGTAACCTAGATGGTGTGCTAACTATGTTAGTAAAAGCTTTCACAACCCACAAAAAAATTTATATATCACTACAAAAAACAAAATTATATCATCAAATGAAGATTTTTTACTAATAACTCAGAAATTTATTTTGTTGAATAAAATTTTCACTTTCTCCTTCATTTTAGTTTAAGTACCGGGTACTAAAAAACTAGTTGCACTCTAAGGTTAAAAACGCAATAATACAATTTTTGTATAGTCTAGCCTGAATAAAAAAACGATAGCATACCTTATGCTTCGAAAAATCTCATTATAATAAGATAGTCATTAATAAAAAAACAAAGTGGTGGTCTGAAATAATAACTGTGAACTCCGAAATTAAAGAATTTCCTAATTGTTTCCGACCCTGACTCGTCCTAAGGAATATGATCAAGATTTCTTTAATTAAGCGAAAAATATTTGACATAATTTTTTGTTTAAAATACGGGTTTGGTGTTATTTTAATAATGGAAAATATTTTAACGAAAGTTTTGTAAAGGTAATATGCAAAATTTTGTTAATTTTAAAGGTTACAGATTATTTTGTTAATGTTTAACAAATTATTTCGTTAAAAAAGTATCACGTGTACTTGTCAATCAAAACATTTCCCACTGACAATACGCATCAACAAGTTAAACTGACTTCAGCAAACAAATACAAAAAGGTTTGTAAAAATAAGATCCTTTTTGAAAATGACAAATATTATGGTTGAATTTTGTTATTAAATCTACAAAAAGTTTGTTATAATCACAAACTACTACAAAAAATACTGTTTTTGCTGGTTTATATTTATAACCATGTACAAAACAGTGGCGAGATGTAAATATTAGAAAACTTTGCTATTTTTAACTCAGGTCGTTTTGCAAATTTTTCACGGCTTATTTGCTTTACAAAAACAAACAAAAGGTTTCAAAATAGTAGGTACTTGAGTCGGTGGTAAAACACACCTTCCAAAAATCAAAAAACTACCTGGCTAAGTCAATTTAATAAATTCGGGTTGGTAGTTTTCTGGTTATTGGCAAAATTGTCCCTGCATGACGAGTTATCTGATCGATAAGTAATTTAAAAGAAACAAAATTTAAGAAAATATAAATAAATACACTCTCTAAAAATGAATTAGTCAAAAATGACTAAATTAATAGTTATTAGTGGCTGCTTTTTCACTTGTACCGTGGTTAACCATGGAATACCATGGTATCCCAAAATTGAACACCCAATTCTTATGTAAAATTGTCCCCTGAATCTGAAAATGTCCTCAAAAGTTAAAAAAAGTAGAACAGTTCTGGAGATATAGTCAATTCTATAATAAATGACGACATTTTCGGATTCAGGGGACAATTTTACATAAGAATTGGCTGTTCAATTTTGGGATACCATGGTATTCCATGGTTAACCATGGTACAAGTGAAAAAGCAGCCATTAATAACTATTAAATTAGTCATTTTTGACTAATTCATTTTTAGGGAGCATAAATTAAGTTTTGTTCAAAAACGTTTGTTGTGTCCAAAGTTTGACACCCTGTATATTGGTTATTATCAACTTTGTACAGAAATAAATTTAGTAATATTGCAGGATTATACAAAATGATAATTTTGTACAGCCATTTCGGTGATATTAGAGCACAGGGTTCGTTGGTTGTCTCCTGTTGGGGTCTCCAAACAAAACTAATATTTACTCTGTAGAAAATTGAAAAAAATAATAATTGCTTTAGAAATTATGAACAGAAAACAAAAAAATGATCATCAAGGATGATTTTAAATTCGGACATAATTCGTAGTAGAAAAATGGAAGAATAATCAGGTTGGAGGAATCTAGATGGGGTCAGAGATGCATGTTAATCATAAAGAATACTGAGTACCTTTAAGGTCCACTATCGTTGGTATAAAAAAGGATACAACAGGTTAATAGTAGAAGTAGATTTTATGTTTCTTTGAAGAATTATAATCAAAGGATAGATTTAGGGTGGTGAGTAGACAACAGGTAGATTTTGGAGTTGAAACAAGTAGATAACATAATTTCTGCTTATATTAGGAATCTGGTTGGTCTCATATTGAGAGAATCTTAATGGGGTAAGGTGATAAAGGTTTATGCGGTGTAGTTATTTCCAATAAAGGGGTAATTTTGATGAATTGCACAGTTCCTGTAAAACATAGCCGGCTCTCAATTTACCAGATTCTTGAGTTTGCAGAAATAGCAATTGTTGGGAGAGCGGTTTTAGCGCATTTGGCGGCAGAAAAGTATTTTTATCGCGAGCAAAAAACAAGAAATGTTAAAATCTCTTTCAGCAGCCACCAGTTGATGTATAGTGGAGTAGTACCTTGGGGTTTATAGCGTAATCCACAAATAGCACAGTACAAACACTAGCACTTCAGCACTGATACAGAGCACATCGGGATTGAATACGAACGCGCGTTAAAAATAACAATAATCGGTTTGTGTTGTTTTCGGTTTGGTACCGCGTGTACGCCGTGGTCAAACAGATTCGCAAGGTGGCGCGCCGACGGTTAGTCGAGATGAACTGAAGTCGGCTGCCTGCCGGTCGGCCAGTCGGTTCGCTCTCCCCGCATTCCAAGACGCCTCCCGCCGCCCCCCCTCGCCCCCGGGCCGCTCCGCCGCTGCTGCTCGCCGTGTACCTGGACTCGAGAGTACAGGTACGACGCTGCGATGCCGGATTTCGCGGTTAGAAGAGCTTCTGGGATTAAGATGCTATTGGTCTAGTTTGGGTTTCGTGCCTTACGCATTTGTTGTTGAGAGATTTATTGTCCTACACAGCTTTGGTGTATCACCGCGATAGTTCTTTTTTCTTTATTATTTTATGGTGTTTGGTTAGTATTGTCTTTCTAATGTTTCTATTGTTACTGATGTTTATTGTTTTCTCATCTAGAGTTTAAGCAGTGTGCCTTTCTTAGGGTTTTAAAGATATATGTCTTGTTTAATTTGCAAATTATGTGTTAGATCATGCATATGCTTAATGATACTTATCAATTTTTTGCGGATGGCCACTTTCCCTCTTGTTTGACCTCTTTTGTTTGTTTGTAGTAAAAAGCGTCCAATGACAGGTGTCATTTAACTCTTTCTTATCACTTAACACTTCACTCTTTATTGACCGTTACACTATAATTGGTTTGCACTTTTAAAAAATTATTTGTTGGTTTTAAACTTTATTTAAAAATATCATTATTTTAAATTTCGCAGTTAAAAGAGCTTTTGGGATTAAGATGCTATTGGTCTAGTTTGGGTTTCATGCCTTACGCATTTGTTGTTGACAGATTTATTGTCCTACACAGCTTTGGTGTATCACCGCGATAGTTCGATTGGGAAGTTTTGTTTTTTTTGTTGTTTGTCTTTATTCTTTATTATTTTATGGTGTTTGGTTAGTATTGTCTTTCTAATGTTTCTATTGTTACTGATGTTTATTTTATTTTTTCATCTAGAGTTTAAGCAGTGTGCGTTTCTTAGGGTTTTAAAGATATCTGTCTTGTTTAATTTGCAAATTATGTGTTAGGTCATGCATATGCTTAGTGATACTTATCATTTTTTTTCGGATGGCCACTTCCCCTCTTGTTTGACCTGTTTTGTTTGTTTGTAGTGAAAAGCGTCCAATGACAGGTTAACTCTTTCTTATCACTTAACACTTCACTCTTTATTGACCGTTACACTATTTTAGTTTGCAATTTATGAAAATTGTTTGTTTCACTATAATTGGTATGCACTCAGTGTTCCCAACTGCAGGGAATTTTCCCTTTTTAGGGAATTTTGGTACCAAAAAGGGAAAAGGGAATTTTTTAGTAAAAATCGTTAAAATTAGGGAATTTTGACCCAAAATAAAAAGAAGTTTGATAACGCAGCCCAAATTTTGTGGCTAGAAGAAGAAGAAGAACTAACTATATGTCAATTAAATTAAATAAATTTTATTTCATGTTTACCTTTATATTTTAATAATTTATTTGTTAGATGAGGCGTATACTGCAAAACGGCCCAACTGAAAAAAAATATTTTGTGTTTTTATCTCGAAATATTCCTATAATGCACTTACCGAGTGAGCTAGCCTAATAAAGTGTGTTTTAATATGAATAGTATACTTACTTGAATAGTATACTTACTCTTCTATAGTTACTACTCTGTATATTAAAATACACTCGTTAAGCGCATAATAGGAATATTTTAAGATAAAAACACAAAATGATTTTTTTTCAGTAAGGCCGATATTGCAGTAAACATAATAAAATTTATTTTAAAAATTGTATTTTTGATATGAAGTCATTTTTCTTGGCAACATTGAATGCAGGGAATTTTGGCATGAAATAGGGAATTTTTGCCATGCAACAAGGGAATTATTACACTGAAAGGTTGGGAACACTGTATGCACTTTTAAAAAATTATTTGTTAGTTTTAAACTTAAACTTTTACGTTTTAAGAGCTCTAGCTGCTACATTGCGCCATGCCTTGTCAAGTGCTGGAACCTAACTGATTCCGAAAAATCGTTACACACTCAGAATTTTTTTTAATAATGTAAGATAAAGATTTTGGGAATCATACCACATTCTAGCCAAACCAACTAGTCAGGAGGTCGCAAACTTACTAGTAATTGCGGAATTCCATCGATAGTGTTTTGCCAGTTCATCTACGCACTGTACACATTGTTCGACATATTTTTCATCATATTTTGGGTCGAAAATGGGAATTACTTTTTCATCAATGCTCTTAAAATAAACATAACTGCTTTGTTCAAATTTGGAGGGCTTATTTTTGTTCTTTCGGGCTTCTTTTTAGGTAGATTTTCCGGGGTATAGCGCAATTCTTCAGTATCTGTCATATTATCCATTATTTCCAAACCACTCAAACGTTCTTAGGCACTTTTGAGTAAATATCCCACTTCTGATTTTGTAAGAAAAACTTCAAAATATAGTTTAATACATATATTAAACGACATTAATAATAATAAATTATTAATAATGACAAAACTATTCAGTAAGAATGCTGCTTCCTAACTGCCCATTTCTCCTAACGTATACGATGTGTTATAAACACACCATCAGCATTTATGCCCGCTTTTCGTTGTGGGAGCTCGAGTTAAAGGTTCCAAAATATATAACAAAAAAAAGTAGTTTGTCTTAATAAAGTAAAGATCCCTATTCGTCCAACAATTACTTTTGTTACAGCAAAAAGATCATTTTTATAAAAATTATTTAAATACAAACGCTGCTTTCATTAATAGCATTTGCATTAATTATAAAGTAAATTTAAGTTATGTTTATAAAAATAACACTGTTCCTGAAGCAGAAAGGCATTGATAAATATAGTTATTATTATTTGTCTAAAAAAACAGTTCTATACCGTTTACAAAAACGTTTTGTAGTATTAATGAAACCCTAATGGTATTACAAATCCCTCTTCGTTCAAAATAAAACTTTTTTTATAATATTAATAAAATTTATGTAAATTTATCAACAAATTAATTGTTAATTCAATAAGCTATTTTCATTGTAACAATGGTCACATTTTCAACCTACTGTTGGGTATTGGGTAGTTTTTTTTTTAATAATTGCAAGGCATTAAAACAAATTATTTATTATAACGAAAAAATTAACTCATATTATAATGTCAAAACAAAAAAAATATGAACTCACTTTTTAAACAAGTCGGCTTCGTTTATAGAATAGACCTTAAATATTTCTTTTACAGAAGGTCGAAATTTTAATTTGCTTCTTTTTGATATTATTATCAAAATTTTACCACACTTCACTCGCACAAGTGAAATCAATAAGATTATACCTCAGACTTTGGATTATAAAGTTATGTTCAACAAGGAGAGCGCTGGCCCTTTCCCCCTCTTTTTAAGGAAAATAACAAAAATTTTGTTACCATTGCAAAACAATAGTAAATATTAAAAAGTCTTTTTATAGCAATAAAATATTTTTGTTATTGTTCTTAACGTAAGCTGTAAAAGATTTTCTAACTGAAATATAATTAATTTGAATTACAACGATAGTAATTTAAAAAAGACAAATATGCCATAGTAAAATGAACACATTTTACTATAACAACTGCGCATTACTTTATGTAATAAACTATAAATTTAACAAAAACATCTTAAGTTCGACAAAGATTTAATATAAACATAAAGTATTTCTTATTGCCATGACAATATGATAACAACTATTACTTTGTTGGAGGAAATTTTTTTTTATAAAAGCTCAACATTGCTGCTTCATTATAGTAAATGAGAATTTTATTAACATTTAAAAAAGTTTATTCTGTAAATAAAAATATTCTCATTACTTTGACAAATCGTAGGTTTTTGTCCCAATAAGACACTGAAAATTTAATAAAAAAGGTACCTTAGGTGGTACATTTTTTTAAAGCCATTACAATTTTAAATTTAAGTTAAATAATATTATTTTATTAATCGCTTACAAAATTAGTTTCATTATCAGTGCGTGTACATTTTTCTGAGTGTAGGGAGTTTTAAATGCTAAATGTCCGGTATACAAATTGCTGTAGGCTACAGTAATTTTTGACTACCTAATTCATTTTAATAGAGTACGGGTTATTTCAAATATAAAAAAAATTCAAGATTTTATACAAGTTATAAATTAAAATCGCCACAACGGTTTGAAATATCAAAAACAATGGATTTTGATACAGCATTTTAATTCAAATAGTCGAGCTTTACAAATATTACTTAATTTAATGTTAAGTAATAATGATGCTCAATTAACGTTATTTTTACGAAAGAAAATTACTCACAAGGTTATTTTATTTTAAGGGATTTTTAACGGTAAGTATTTTCTCTCTTAACTAAATTTTACTCATAAGTCATATTTTAACTCTATTAAAACCACTTTATAACCGTAAATAATTCTTATTTGTCTTGGAAAGTTCAAAGTGGAATAAAAAACTACTAACATTGAAAAAAATAACTTTATGTGAGAGGGTAATATTTCTGAATTACGCTATAATTAATTTTTAAAGATGTCATGCAATATTTAATTAAAATATATACGGAGACGATAGAACATTGTTGTCTTAAAACTTTTAAAAATGTTTTGTCCGACTGTGTTTACTAACCGCCAACGGTGGACTAGTGGTCAGTGCTGCTGACTACAAACCGAGAGGTCGTGGGTTCGAGTCCCACATTGGTATGGTTGTTTATTTGTGTTTGTCCTATTGTATATTAGTCCTTCGGAGGGGACGTTAAGCCCGCGGTCCGTTCCTACCCCTAACCTGCACAAGCCATTTTTATATAATCATTTAAGTTTTTAGGATTTATTAATTTAGTGATTTTGATAGAAATAGTTAAGGTTATTTTCTGTCAGTGTCATATATATATATAGGTACATAACACCTTTTTTGGAAGCATGCAAAAGTACAGCAGTCCTTTTAGCCGACAAAATCGCTTATTAGGGAGTTTAAAACAATATATTGCCAAAATTCTTCCAAAAAACGACAAAAGTGCGTTTTTTCTTTATTTTTCTTAAACCCCAGCTCGGATAACAA